AGAAAATACTAGCTTGTGGGAAATCCAGTTACTGGGAAGTAGTTTTCCTCTAGATTCCTACCTATAATTTTGACACTGCCTGATACTATATAAATTTCCATACAGCTCCCACTAATGTTAATGCAGCTAGCTCTCTGCACTGAAAATGGACCTCTTGACCATTAAAGCACACTGATGTCTACTGTTTTCACTTGTACTGTATATATGGCTCAGTTTGAATCAAATAATTCTGATATTTTAAAAAAATATTTTAAAGGTCTATATTTTGTGTAATCATAGTTCCAGTTTTACTTCTATATGGAGTGAGGAGCTCCTGAGCAAATAAAATATCAGAGCTAGAATCTGCATATAAGGTCTACTGTGCTTCTAAAATACCCAATACAAATTTGCCCCATCCCAATGGGTTGCTTTGGAAGACTGAGATGTAAGGATGAACATTTACGTTTGCAGAGTGTTCTTTTCATCTGTTTTCACAGCATAGAAGAAAGTAATTAAACTAGCCACAATCCTTGTGTGAGTACAATAGCAGGTGCAGAGGTGGCTTGCTCCAGGAAAGGGTTAGGTGCTTTGCTCCCCTCTGTGTACAGAAGTGGAGATCACTTTGCTAGAATACTGCACGTCTGTGACAAAGGGAGCTTCAAAAGGGAAGAATGATCACTTAATACAGGTACATAACTTCCCATGTTTCCTGACCCCTGCTGAGAATCGCTAGGTCTTACTGTTTTAACAAACATTAATGTGGAACTAGTACTTTTTCATAACCTTGGTTCTCTGGATTCCCAGGAGGATTTGGAGAAGCAGGAAATTTAGCATGGCCGTGGACCAGCTTCCTGGCCACTCCGTCAAGTTGTATTTGTCATGGGTATGAAGGGTTGAGGAAGACTTAACCCAACCAAATATCCAAAATAACGAATTTAAAGCCAATTGAAAAAACAAAGGTATAACAAGTTCAGTGTTTATTATTTATTATTAATGTGCTTAGCATTGTTCTTCCATAAGAAGTTTACAATCTAAGAAGAAACAGTAAATAACAGTTCAGTCATGCAAGCATGAGGTGAGCAGAATATAGAAATAGATAACATTGGCACAAGGTGAGTGCATGGCTATATTAGACACACAATATTTCTGCAGGCGTAGGAGCAATACCAGTGGGCTTTTTGGGAGAAATGTGCAATTCAGACTGTCTGGTATGAAAAAAGGAAGCTAGAATATAAACAAGCTAACTATGCTTACCTACAAAATCAAGCTGTCATGTAATCCTATTTGGGGAAGTGTAGTGTCTTGGCACTTGTGCAAAATTATTAATCAGCACTAACTCGGGAACTCCTGGCCTGCTTAGAGCCCAAGGCTTAGGAAAAGAATAACATTTATATAAAATATGGATGAACGTAGAAGCTGTCATATGAGAATGGGCTGATCTTTGTGCTTTTTCCAAACACTTATGGGCCCCAATTCTGTTCTCAGTTACTCTGGATTTACAGCTGTGTAAATGAAAGCAAAATTTGACTCACCAGGTTTAAATTTGTACATATTTTAAGTAGGCGTGATTACTACAGTAGTTGGGCAAATGATTTGCCCTTGTTAAAAACTGCATTAGCTACAGTAATTTTTAGACAATCCGCACAAGGCTATTATTCGTTCTTATGTGTTTGCCATGTTCATGGATGTGCCGTTAGTAGAACGTTCTCATCCCATTTTTTCTTTCCTTTGCCCTACACTAGAATTTTCTGAAGAAACTGGAACAATCCTTTATGTGTGTCTGCTGCCAGGAGCTGGTTTACCAGCCAGTGACAACAGAGTGCCTCCATAACGTCTGTAAAGTAAGTACAAACTCTGTCCTGCTCTGGATTGAGTTTCTGGCATTGAGGCACCAGTCAACTGAGCCAATCTATATTTTAGCAAGACAATAATTATACCAAGCATTCTGACCAGGGAATGCAATAAGTTTGCTCCCAATTTGGTGTGATTATGGTTTATTTTAAATGAGTAATCCGTATTTTCTTCCATTTTATATATTTTTTAAAAATGGAAATGCATTAGGTGGTGGTGGTTGTTTGTTTGTTTGTTTGTTTGTTTTTAAACTGACGTGTCAAACTTCCTTTAGTGTTGCTCCTTGAAATCAGTGAAATTACACTAGGGACTAACTTGGTCCAATAGCTAGACTTTGGCACAATAAGACAGACCTAATTTCATCTTATTTAGGAAAGAACACAGCATATCAAATTCTACAATAAATTATTAGATAAAACAACACAATACAAATTATATTGGTTCATTACCTGAGTAAGTTATGGTGTCTTAACACTATTTGATGGGCACCCATTGGGAAATTATATTAAATTTGTAGATTTCAACGCCAGAAGGAATCATTGTGATAATCTAGTCTGGCCTCCTGTATAACACGGGCCATAGAATTTCCCCAAAATAATTCCTACACTAGAGCATATCTTTTAGAAAAAAATCCAATCTTGATTAAAATTTGCTGGTGACAGAGAATCCACCACGACCCTTGTTAAATTGTTCCAACAGTTAATCACCTCAGTGTTAAAAATGTACATCTTATTTCCAGTCTGAATTTGTCTAGCTTCAACTTCCAGTCATTGGATCGTGTTATATCTTTCTCTGCTAGATTGAAGAGCCCATTTATCAAGTAGGGCTTATAGACTGTAATCAAGTCAAGTCCTTAACCTTCCCTTTGTTAAGCTAAATAGATTGAGCTGCTTCAGTTTATTGCCATAAGACTTCATATACATAACCTTCATATTTTCAGACTTGAAGACTTGGATACCAGACAGTTTATGGAATCCAATGTTTACTAGAATCAGTAAAGACTTTGCATATACAGAGAGAGAGAGAGAGAATTTGTGTATAGAGATGTATCTATAGACACATACACTGCATTGTACATGTCACATCTGCTTCTGTTATATCAGTTATCTCTGTTGCATGCGTTTTCTCTGCCAATATGTTTTTACATGTTAGGTATGTGGTCACAGTTCAAGGGATGTGCATGCCTGAGAATAGCTCTGCCATTGCATTGGAGAGATAGGTTATTGATTTACTAGCTCTGTAGAAGAACAAGAATTTGGTTTAACTGTACTTGGATCATTATATCTTCCAAGTACAAAATTTACTCAGTTTAATTTTTAAGACTAGTGTTAGCACCTTATACAACACAGATCACTTATTTATTATTATTTATGATATGCTAGCACCGAGAGATCCTGAACAAAAAATAGATTCCATTGTTCCAGATGCTGTACAGACACTTAGGGTAAGGCACAGTGTCTTCCTAAGAGCAGCAGGCTATCAAGACAGGGAGAGGCACCCCTCCCCCAACCCAGTGCAGCCAGAGCCTAGCCGGAGCTGCCATGGCTGGAGAGAGGCGCACCTCCCCAGTCCAGCCCAGATCTGCCGGAGCTGCCGTGGCCCAGGAGAAGTGCCTCTCCCCTGGCCCCGAGCTGCGGCAGCGAGAGAGGGTTGGGGGGAGTCCTCTCTCCCTGCTGCAGCCCCCGGGGCAGCCTGCACCCTCAGCCAGAGCCCTCACCCCCCAGCTCTCTTCCCGAGCCCTGAGCCCCCTCCCGCACCCCAATCTCCTCATCCCCGGCTCCACCCTAGAGCTCGCACCCCTAGCCAAAGCCCTCACTCCCTGCCACCCCAGCCCTGAGCCCCCGCCCACACTCCAAACCCATTGGCCCCACCCCCACCACACATCACCTCCATATTGGTGCACATAACAAAATTCATTCCGCACAGGGACGTAAAAAATTAGAGGGAACGTTGGCCAGGACTATCATGATGGGGTGAATAAACAGAAGTAAGGGAGTGGAAAAAATAAAGGAAAGAGAGGAAGGGAATGAAGAAGGCTGGATAGATGGTGAGGATCCCAAAGGACAAGGATAATGAGGGTGGCAACAGAATGACCATGAGGGAAGAAAACAGTGTCCAGAGTTCAATTGTAAAGAACAGTCTGCTGCTATAACTGCTGCCCAGGAGCTGAGATTCTCCTTGCCCCTGCTGCTCCCAGAGGCTGGCTCTGTTCCATGAGATTCTGCTCTGCCTTCTCCACCCACATGCCTAGGGAAGGACAAAAAGGGGTCACTTGGAGACCTGGGGACAACAGAAAGGGGAATAGGATATTTATTTGTAAATGTTTGGTATAGATTTTGTGGAATACCATGTGTATGATTATTCTACATATCCCCCTTGAGGATTGAATATTGGGATCTTTCATAAAGATGGAGTAGATGTGGACTGCATGTTTTTTGTTTTGTTTAGTACTTACTCCATTAGATATTTGCCCTGGATTTTTTGTCTTGTATACAATTAGTACACTTTATTTATTTATTTAGCGTGTGCATAGTAAGCTTAATAAAAATAAGTTTTTAAAAAAGTATTTAAATAAAAAAAATAAGACAGGAAGAATTAGGGAAGAATTTGCAAAGCCCTAGCAAGTTCATAAAAGTTTAGATATAAGCTACAACTGCGTATTCAGAGTCATAGCTTGAAATGAATGGCTGGGATGTTTGAGAAGTTTAGCAGGAATGCTAAAAAGAATCTGCAGACGGAGCTCTCCTACCCGCAGAGAGGCGGGGGGAAGTGGAGTCCTTCTCTGGTGACCTGTACTTTCATTCATGCCAAACTTACTGCTTGTAATGTAGCCAAGAACAGAGTTCTTTGTTGTCTTCCTCTGTATAACAGCAAGAATGTGTATCAGAAGACTTAGTAACAGCTTAGTAACAGTTCTAGCTATGCTGAGCGCTATGTTTGCTCCCTAGTAGTTGCTTAGCTAGTTGTTCAGCACAAAGAAAAACTGTAATTTTCTTTCCTTGCTTGTCTTAGAGCTGTTTACAGCGCTCCTTCCGAGCTGAAGTCTTCACCTGCCCTGCCTGCCGCTATGACCTTGGGAAGGGCTACACCATGGTTCCCAACAAGATACTGCAGACACTACTTGACCAGTTCTTCCCTGGGTACAGCAAAGGACGATGATATGTTCAGCTCCTACCTGACTTCTCCCAGTGACTATAGACAATAAAGGAGAATAAACATGGGAAATTCAACAGTGGACCAGCCAACTTGATGGGACTCAACATATTGTCACATTCTGAAGCAGCTCTCTTCCCCCTACAGCCATCTCTTTTGTGTAGTGAGAACTCAAATTCTCAGCTGTCTTTCACCATCAAAGGTAGTCTTTGCCAGTTGACAACTAGTTTTTAAAACAGAAAAACAAAAGCCTCAGCTCTGACTGGTCAACTGTAGCTGATGCTTAAATTATGTTGGGTTTTTGTAACTACCTCAGGACAGAGGAAGATAATTTGTGGGGATTAAAAGAAGTTCAGTGAAGTTTTAGCTACACACTGCCTCCTGAATATTAGTTGTGCCTGGTCCAGGCAGTTTGATTTACAAAACAAAACAAAAAAAAAAGCAGCACTTAAACCAGTTTGATTAAAGAACAAAAAATTCTGTGGTGTGCATAATCCTTTTTTCTTTTTTCCCCATTATGCTGCATTTTTTTCTTTTTTTTCTTTTTTTGCAAGAACAGGCTGATTTTTAGTCTATTTTTGTGAGCTTCATTGTGCTTTTTCTTGTATCTTATGCAAGTTGACTACTAATGACTAATGAGAACAATATGAATGCATTGTTGCTACATTAGTGTAAAGTGATCTGTGTTTTTTGCACTTAAGGAGGGTATTCAAGACACTCTAGTTGTGTAAAAAAAAAAGAATTCATATGAAACAAGCCACTTTTGTATTAGTTAAAACTGTATGCTTTTAGTAGGACTTGTATCAGTGGCAATACATCTACTCAGCATTGAAGGCAGTGCTAGCTTGGAGACAGTTCAAATCGCTTCATATTGTGATCTGAAATTTTATATACAGTATATTCCCCCAAAATATACATTAAATATTTTATGATTCAGAAAAAGTTGCTAATTATTGTTGCTTTGTATTGTAACAACCATGTAGCCTAAATCATATTTAACAAACAAGTACTTTTTTGTAGTAAATGTTTTCTTGAGGTGGGCTTTTTATACTTAAAACTGGGTATTATATGAACTTGCATTTCAGATGTTGGTAACGAGGACAAATGAATAGTCACAGTCTGCTTTAAGGACAGAAGAACTTAATCCATTGTTGGTAGGTTTAACAGATATCTAATGGTCTCAAAATGTAATCTAAGGTTTGCGCTAGTGGGAAGTTTTCACTCTTAGCGATACGTTTCAGACCAAGGATTTAAAATAAACCCAAACCCTACTTTGATTGGGGTCTTCTTTTTATATCTTGGCAACAATGAGTTCAGTTGTTTAACATGTTTGCTTTCCAGAGTCACAACAGAAGAAATCTAAATGTGAGAGACTACTCAGTTTGTCTTATGAAAAGTGGAGGAGAAACAAATCACCTAACCCTTCTATTATTAGTCCTGGTATAGGTATCTGATAAGCTTGGAATAGCATTACTTTTAACCCATTCAGCAGGAAAGTAGTAATATGTTTGACCTTTTATTAATTTTATGACCTTTTATACGTCTGTCTAGTAAGTAACATTTCTCTTTCATTCCAGGAGATAGAATTTCCACTGCAAGTTTACTAATGCAAAATGTACAGCCACCACTGTTAGATATCCCAACCCACTCTCACTGCCCAAAAGGCTTCTGTTGAGCAAAAATTTGAGGAAATAGGATAATTCTCCCTTTGACTTTTTCCTGTACTTAACATAGAATGAAATTGGTTCCAACGTCATCCTTCAAACAGACCTGTGAACATTGAGGCTCAGACTTTCAAAAGAACCTTAGACAGATGCCCAAATTCCTTTGATATTGACTGAGTTTCTTTAGGTTCTTTTGAAAATGGTAGCCTAACTATTCTTCTGGTTAAAACCTTCACTGATTAGTAATATATTTTCATTGTAGACAGCATGCCCCCTATAGTGAAGCAGTCTACAATAACATGACATGTGCAAGATGCACGCACTCAAATCTGCACTATTTCCAAGTGATATTTAGGTCCTGTAAAGTCTTTATGGTACCTTTTGTGATAGCCTTACCTGTCTGATAATTAGTAGCAATTAACACTCATTTGACAGTCATAACAGAGATTCAGAGACTAACGTACTCAGAGACTGAGTAATAAATATGCCATTTTAATATTAAAATCTTCTCAATGCCATAAAACTTTTCAATGGAGAAAGAGAAATCTTCAGTAATAGTCTGACTGTTTAACTGTAGCTTGTTACCATTGTTCCTAAAGCTTTTCCTGAATGTTCATATTGTGTCTCAAATTTAGATGAATGAATAAGGTGAACAATACTTCTTCAAATCTGAAGTGAAATTAAATTTAAAACAATCTGAAATTGTGCATTGTACCAAAGCACTTAATAATATGTTCCAAGTTAGGCTTAAACTGTTTGTGTGCAAATGCCAGTGATTTCAAATAAGAACCGCACAGAATCCAGTTTTATAAATAATTGGAGTGCCTAACTATGCAAAAAGCAGTTCTTAAGTTTCAATTTAACATTTATTTTCCTAATTCAGAATAGTATGGGGTTTCACTAGCACTTCTCCCATTATCATCAGTTCGGTGTAGTGGCTGGCTTAAGGGAGTGCATGACTTACAAAGCCAGGCCTAGGAAGTTCTGCAGTTTAATTAGTTTTGGCACTAGCAGTTAGCAGGAGGAGAACCTACCACTAAAATGGTTAACATGATACATTTCTAATGTTTTTATACAATTGGATTTGGGAGGAAATCACACCAAGAACAACCATATCTTGTATCCGTACTGGACAGAACAAAACCCACTTGATGGGAAGAAACTCAACGTGACAAGGCCTCTTCAAGAAGGGCAGTGCAACAACTGAACAAGGCCCTCTAGAGCTGGAGTTTGCTTTCAACCATATTTACAGGCCAATGTGCAGTGGTATTTCATGTGCTTTTTATAATAATTAAACATGATTTGATTTTGGTGCCCCAAGTGGCTTTTACAGCTAATAACTTTGGAATTAAGAGTTAGAATTTTCAGACACCCACTTCTAAGGTCTCAGGCTATCAGCACAGAGGCACCTGCTAGACTGATTTTGGTGTCTCTGGATTTAATAAATGCAGAAACTTTGACTACTTAATAGGAATTTCTTAATGTGCCACACTTAGTTTTAGCAACACATACTCCTTATTGGCAATAAAACCTGAACTGAATTTACTCACGTTTATGACAATATATTCTTTCTATTTCAACTGGCAACACCAAAATAACCCCTGCAAGGTTAGTGCAACAGCCAGAGCTTTTAGAGTTATGTGCCTCTTGTAGAAACACTGTTCAGGTGCAACTGAAGGTTCCCATACAACTGTTCGCTTATATTCCAGTAACAGTTGGAGTTTTCAGTACTACTTTGCTAAGCAATGTGCGGACACTTGGCAAAAGTCTCTGTCCTGAACTTTGCAACGTAAGTAAGCTCCATTATCATTTAGAGGCACTATTAGGAAGGCTTAAACCTCTTTACTGGTTGTTGTTAGAGGTATATTCAGTTAGATTGTTAGGCAAAAAGATTCTTTTCCCCAAGAATCTGGCAAGCACAGACAATACTGAAAGGGGTTTATTCACGGTACCAGGAAGACTGACAAGCAGCTTCAAAAATATGGTGCCACAGTGGCCAGTTATATACATTCTCTTATCAATTCATTTTCATTTATCTGTACATACAGAGACAGACACTGTTACAAGTTAAGAGAGAACCCTGAACAAAGATAAAAATAGGAACAGTATGTAGATATAGAGGTCATCCTAATTGCATCAAACATCTGTGACCAGGGCCGGCTCCAAGCACCAGCGCAGCAAGCAGGTTCTTGGGGTGGCCAACGGAGAGGGGCGGTACATCCGGCTCTTCAGCGGCGGGTCTCTCGGCCCTTCTCGGAGGGAAAGACCTGCTGCCGAATTGCCACCGAAGAATAATGAAGCGGCGGCGGTAGAGCTGCCGCCGATCGCGGCTTTTTTTTGTTTTGTTTTGTTCCACCGCATGGGGTGGTAAAAACGCTGGAGCCGTCCCTGTCTGTGACTACCTTGCGGGGGAAGGAGGCAGGGTGGGGGGTAGGGATGAGTGCTTACAGATAACCGGTAGGCTGTGAAGGGAGGGTTTATTCTGTTCTAAGAGCTGAGTTACTGGGCGGGCATTGACCATATAAGCTTATCAATTGTTTACAGGTGTAGGTGTCCTTGCTACCAAATGCTACTGAAGCATTCCTGCTTGTTTTGTGGTTTCTGTCTTAGCTGTTAACTAAATTTTAACTTTTGCCTGACAAGATGTTAATATATCAAAGATATAACTTATGGTGTTTTCCAAATTATAACACAGCAATCCAATTCTTGCAGAAGTAATGGAATGGTACTACTAATGCATCTTTGATATTGAGGATCACCTTTAGTAAATCAATTCAGAAAAGATGCAGTTGGCTGTACAGCCTAAGATGGTGGTGGCTGTCTGGGCCGAACGGGCATTGCTACTGAAAAATCTCCCATCAAAGGCAAGAAGGGTTGCATGGGCACCAGCCGTGGAGCACCAATAGCTATACTACTTGAAGAAATATGGGTAAGCTGTTTTCATAAGAATCTAGATAGATTAAGGATCCATAATTACAATTCAGTTCTCAATAGTACCCAAATACCTAGGAAAGCTGAAAATTTCCTGTGGTTTGCAGGTCACCCCTTCTGCTGACAAAAAGAGGTTTCTCTTCCTTGCCCTCAGCGGGGCTCTTCAAATAGTCTCTACATCTTCCCAACATTCAATATTCCAATTTCCTCTACTGTGTCTTACTCAGGCATCTATAAACCTTTCCCTTGATCCCACAGATTTCTGGGGCTGGTGTGATACATCCATTCTTTCTGTGAATCCAACATCCAGATCTTCTGTTTCAGCTCTCTTCCACTTCACCTTCTTCTGCTGCTAAGCTGCCAGAGAAGCCATGATTCTTCTCTTCTGCAGAAGTTGATGAGATTTGCAAAGTGAAAGCATTGCACACCTTTTATGTCAGGCACAGTGCACTGCTTTTGGTTGGAAGATAAGGGAGGCATTCAGAGGAGGGGAGGGGAAGGGAGAAAAGGGTCCCTGCTTCTGTCTTAGCTAAGCAATACCTTCCTTTCACTGCCACCATGTGCACTTAATTCTTTGTGAGGAAAGTATTGGCTTAAGGAACTGTGTGGAGGCAGGAAGCCACAGTCATGAGGCCTGTAGGCATGTCTAAAAACAAGGACAATGGGTTTAGAGACTGTGGAACATGTTCTGAGATCGGGATATTGCCACTCGTTGAGGTCAGACTGTCATCTTACAAATTACCTAAGTTGCTGTAGCTCCAACTTGGTCCCAAGGATGGGGTTAACCTTAGGGTTGCCAACTCTGACTGAAGCTATTCTGGGAGATTTTCCTCCCCAACATGACATCATGTCATTTTCTTAAAATATCCTATTAACATTTCCTGGATTGCTTTCAGTAGTCACTGGGCGATCAGTGCCAATTCCAGGAGACTCCCGGCCAACCCTGGAGGGTTGACAACCCTTGTTGAAAAGTTCTGGCTTTCTGTGAAAAGCTGGGTCAGGGAGAAGGAGCTGAGGAATGCTGAGTATGTAGGAAGTAGCCTGAAGAATCAAGCTGAAACGGCTGGAAATGAAACATTTTCTCCCTGTCATGGCAAAATGGCAAGTCCCAAGTAATAACTTAAGCTTTATCTGAAATGAGGATTCAGACCAGGTACATCCATTGGTATCCAGCCATGGCTGTTGCTGCAGTGGTGCAAATTCCTAGTGCAGACAGACAAAGACATTGCTTTCATGATGGGGTTCGTGCCTGCTTCGAACTGTGCAGTGATGCAATCTACAGTAGAGCTTTTACATCAGGGCAGTTTCTTGAGTGGCTGTGATCAGGTTTTTTCCCTGCAGCAGACC